ATAGGACGCAAAGTTTGCTGCAAGCACATGTATTCCTGGAACTATAATATAACCGGAGAAATAATACCGTTGATCCTCTCTCGTGTTTCGAAACCGGTGTCAAAGTAACAGACGATCATTTGGGCGGTTCGTTTATGGCTGGAAATAATATTTCGATCCACGTCGATGGGTTAAATATGTGCGGCATTTGATGGGGTCGTCACGCATAAGCGTTACGAGTTCCATTAACCAGCCCTTAGTTCCTTTTTCTCTTCTCTGATCGTTCACTCCTCGCCCCTTTGGGAAATTTACCGCGCTTGCTTCCTAGGAAAACGCGAATTCTCCTTTCGTTCTATACTATCGAACTTCGACGATCTTTATTCGACCTCTTTTCTCCGTGGAATTGTAATCGTCTGGAAATTAATGAAATTACAATTGAAAATGTGGGGTACAATAGGTATTCCATTTTTATTGATACTTTTAGCGAGGCAAAAATTGAAGATTGCCAATTTACGAAGCTTTTTTAATTGTTACTTTTTGTTGCATATGTGGGTTGCTGAATTTTTTCGTTTGCAAGAAAATGTTTATCAAAATATGGAAAAATGTTGAAACTTTGTCAAATTTTCTGAGTAACTTGTAAGAAAGTTTATAGCTGAATCTTAATTAATAGAAATCGATCGTTTCGTTAAACTTTGTAGCTGCTTCCGTTAAAAATTCTGGAAGATTGTAGAATTAGTCGAACAATGTACTTAATTGTCCAGGCAAAATGTTGAAAGAAAATTTCGAGTGTAACAAAAAGGCGATGCAAACTGTATTTTTATGATAACCAACTCTTTGATAACTTCTCTTATTATCTACCTTTGGGAAGACTTGGTGAATTTCGGAAAACTTCACAAAAACCGCAGGAAACAAGTTTCCATATATAGTACCATGTGTGTCGAATTTATATTTTTTACGATGCACCATATTGGGCCCGATTCTCGAGAATGCCGCGTGATTTTCTGGATTCATAAAGCTTCCTGGAAGGACTGCAGGATTATTAAACGGAAGAGGGCCGTTAACGTGTACCTTGCTCCTCCACGTATTCATTTTCGGCGCCTTTATGCGCGATCACGGATTGCTTTTAAGGGCCATTTTTCTTGGACACGGTTGACCCTATCGAATAGAGGGGGGGAGAGAAACGTCGATTAAAAGTCGGGACCCTTTAGAAGCGGAGAAGACTCGAAATGTCTACGAAAATCCAGAATGTCTATTCTGCATGAATACGAGGTCGGTCTTTATCGTCGCGATGCTTTCCTCGAGGCGTATCGTTCACGAGACACGTTTTACGACGCGTCCAAGTTTTAGTGCCTTGCGCGAGATTTCGCTTCGCCAGGATTTTCTTACATCGGCCTTTAATCTATTCTGTCGTTGCCGATATTTTCGTGGATACCGGCGATCCTTGCCGAGACCCGGTCATTGTGTAAATATTGCTCGTCGAGACTGAAAATTGTAGAACAGCGAACGATATTTCGTTTAGGATGAACACGTGAAACAATTGTCTCGTTCAGCTGATAAGAAGAATTCGAGAAAATCTGGAGACATATGTCAAAGCTGTCCAAATGACGTTTTTTCAAAGCGTTTAAGAGCATAAAGAATTTTTATTGTTCTTTTTTTACGTAGTTCAACCCTTTGACAGTGCAATAAAATTATGAACGACGGTAAGAAAAATTTATATTTCACAGGGATTTTTTTTCATAATTACGTCGGTTGTGATCATTTTTAAAACAAGGGATACATAACCTTGCGTTATAGTTACGACAATAATATCTCGTCCCTTTTCAACTTTCTTCTTAAGAGTCTCTATTGAGTTTTTCATTTCTTTTAATTTCGACAGTTAAATATTTGACGCTTTGCCCGAATTTCACACGGGATAAACTGTCAAAGGGTTAAGAGGCGAAATTTGATCATGGATCGATTCGTTTGAAAACATTGTGTATTGTCCATTCGGGATGAGAATATCCTAGGACGAAAGCAGAAAGCAGGAAAATTAAGGATTAATATATCGCCGTATCTTTATATAACGAGAAGCAAAATATACACGAATGCGCGCAGGATTTCAAAGTTGCTCGTGTTGGGATAATTAAGTATTTTTCACGGTAAATGCTTCTTAGATCGTTAGGTTTTACATGTCTACATTGTACGTATAGTACAGGGTTTCGTATGCACTAACCTAATGTACGGCAATTTCATTATGGTAAAGTGCCTATTTCACTATAATCCTTGGGATTTTATATTGTAAGAATATTTTGCCTTTGATTAGAAATTCTTTGATGTACACGCTAATTATAAAAATTACGTGCGTTTCTTTTTACTCAAAATTGGCAAGAACGAAGATTAACAGTCTTGCTACTTTTTTCTGAAGATTTTTTTTTTTAAGTTCATGCTGATTACCTGTTAAATCGTTAAGATTCGATATTTCATTTCGTTGCTTGAACTTGGGTGTTGTTCAATTATCAGAAAATATTTTCGTTTTTAATTCTTTCAACTTACCATTTTTTTTTTCATTGTACAGTTTATATGCTATTATTATTTCTCACGCTTCATCTTACAATAATACTGTTCCTCGTATAACTACAAGCAATAGGTGTGATTCCGTGTTTTTACGAAATACAAAGGCATGATTTATCGAGGAAAAGGAGGTTTAAGAATTGTTTCGCAGTCAATTAAAACGTTTCATAGAAAACGGAAGCTTTGATGCTAATTAAGTTGAGAAAACACTGGAAGCGAGTAATTATCTCGGTTGCGCATGAAAAATGCCTCCCTCGAGGCAGAAAATTATTTGATGCTTTCCTTTCTTTCTTTATACAAGCTTTGCATGGAAATGGGTGTTAATGCTATATGATTTCATTCTGTTAAAAAACTTGACGACACCTTTAAATTATGAACAACTCGTTGTGGTTTATTTACGGCACACAAAAAAATAGATATAATCGAACGTTCTTATTATTTAATCTAATATTACCTATTATTTCATAAATTTAAATGGCAATTGGTTAAAGCTAAAAATACGTTCTTCCGTAAATTTTAAGCGTCAGTGAAAGCGAAGTTTCTTCTCTATGTCAATTCGTTCAAAATTAATAGTTTTCTACTGACGATTTCACCCCCTTGACGTGAATATTAGCAGCTAAGAAAGAAAAAAAATACGTGTCTAATATTTTCGGATTCTCTATCTGTCTGAAAATTTGTATCAAAATCGACGTGTATCAATTGAAGTAGGTATATCAATCTCTTATTAGTGTTACTGGTGGACGTGTGTTTTATTCTTACTGTATAAAGGTTGCGTGCATTGGTTTATTTTCATATCGTTCATTTGATGAACGAAAATGAAGTGGTAAGGACGAAGGAAGGGACGAGAAGAAACGAAACCGCCTGGAAAGATAACCGTAGTCCTCGGCGGGTATGGAGTGTACCGTGAAGAGGAACCAGCGTGTCTAGACTTCCGAAAAAGTCAGCCACGACCCTCCGCCACGTCGGCGGAGCAGGAAACCGGGTCTGGTCTGGCCGGGTGAATGGCGGGTGGGTGCACGTATGAAAACTAAGTCCAGGTTTCATTTGACTGGCTTTACGAGGGAGACATAAAATGGATTTTACTGTCGGCTAGTTCGCCAGTTCTCGAGTTGGTAACATTGCTTTAGCGAGCATAATATAACCCCTTGCCTTTCTTCTCTTTCTCCTTCTGTCTCCCTCCCCTTTCTTCATGTTCTTCCTTCTTTCCTTGTCTTCATTCTCACGAGGATGTGCTTTACTCTCGTTGTCCTTTTGACACGATTCTTGTCTTCCTCTATTTCTCTCTTTTCTTTTCTCTTCCTTTATTTCTCTCTTCTCTTCTCTTCATCCAAGTGCCGCTGGTCGATCTGTCGCGTCCTTAAAATCACGCTCCGCGGTAAGTTTCCGCCCTCGTGAAGCAAAGTTTTCGCATGAGAAATGTCTCGCTGGCAGATTTAATATCCGTTGGATAAGATGGCACGACGGTCGTTAAGTTACCTTCGAATTCGTTTCCTGTAGGTGTTTCGGTAGCGGTTTCAGTCCTCCCGGCGCTCTGTTACCTTTTCCTGGTTAATAGGCGCCATTACCGATCGTTTTCGGTCCTATACCATTGTTTAATGGCGGCGTTTTGCTTGAGATAGTTGTTTGTTTGTTACCTTTTTCTAGTCCTCTTTCTCCTTTCTTTTCGTTTATCTTTCTTTTTCTTCTTCTTCGGATTGTGATACAATAGTGGTGGTTTGTGAGTGACGATTTGAAGAAATATCGTCGTAGAATCAGAATTAAAAGCTATCATACGCATGAGATAGTCTCTGTTGAATATACCGCGTTTTTCTTCCTTTTTCAACGCAGTCTATATCACTTCCGGCTGTCTATTGTATTCGCAACATCCTGCAATAAAAGTAACTTACCCGCCACATAACGTACTTCTAATAAATTAATAATTCTAAATAGGTGACTATTAATTAAAATTCCTCCTAAAACTTCGTTTTAACGAAGTGTTCCGTGATACTGAGAAATTTGATTTATTTCATTTGAATGTAATGCTGCTATTGCGGTAAGAAACTTGAAAAATTTTTATACGATTATTGCTTCACCCGACGCATGAAACTTCAGCAAATGATTAAATGAAAAATTTGTAGTCGGTCTAAATTACGCGAACGATTCGTTTGATTGCACTTTATCACAGAAAGTACAAATTATACCACTCTGCGCATTGCCATCTCCACCACACGAAATACATCCAATCGGTCACAGAAATCGAACTTCGGCAATCGCCAATTAAAATAATCGTCATATCACGGTTATAATTATCTCGGTTATTAATTTAATACGTAGATGTAAATAGAGATAGCGACGATCTTATAAAGATCGGACAGAGGGTAGTCGGTGGATGGCGAGCACAAAGTGTTTCCTCTGACGAATGCCGGGCCACAACCGGCGCGCCGAAATGTAACACATCGCTAACCGCAGGCGAACCTTTTTTCTGATTTCAGATCGATTACCAACCAGTCGGTGAAGTAAAGCGGCTGGAAGAACAGGTAGAATCCAAAGAGAAGCGACGCCCGTGTGTTATATAGCGAGGACGAGGAGAAGGAGGTGGAGCAAGAGAAAATGAAGAGTAGGAAGGAGGAGGAGGAGGAGGAGGAGGACCTGGAAGGAAGTAAACGACAAGAGAGAAGAAGAAGCTTCTCCACGTAACGTTCTCCATCGCGGTCATCGTTCCTCGAATGTTCTGATCGCCGCGGTGCACGCCTCTCGTGTGGCACGAAACGACGAAATTTCCGATTAACCGGAACGTTTACTTTTTGTTAGTAGCTTCAGGCTACGTTGTCCGAGTCCTCACGGAGAGAGCGATTGTCGTCTCTCCTTCGTTCGGTTGCCGATATTGGATTGCGGAATCATTGGCAACTTTCTTCCTATTTCGAAGAGAGGAAGAGAACGAA